TCTTTAACTGGTTTTGGGATTAGGATGATGCTGACCTCAGAAAAAGAGTTTGGGAGTCTTCCTTCTTCTTGGAGTTTTTGCAATAGTATAAGAATGATAGGGGTTATCTCCTCTTGAAATGTTTTGTAAAATTTTCCTGTGAAACTGTCCAGTCTAGGACTTTTGTGCGACAGGAGATTTCTGATTACTGCTTCTATTTCACTAGCTGTTATTGGTCTGTTCAGGCTTTCTGCTTCTGTATGCAGTTTTGGAAGATTATATTCTAGAAATTTCATCTAGCTTTTCAAATTTCTTGGCATGTAGTTATTCATAGTAATTTCTTACAATCCCTTGTGTTTCTGTGGCATCAGTTCTAATCTCTCCTTTTTCATTTTTGATTTTATTTATTTGGGTCTTCTCTCTCTTTTTTTGATGATTCTAGATAAAGCCTTATTGATTTTGTTTATCTTTTCAGAGAACCAGCTCCTGGACTTATTGATCCTTTGAGTCTCAATGTCATTTAATTATGCTCTGATCTTGGTTATTTCCTTCCTTCTGCTCACTCTGGGATTTGTTTATTGTTGTTCCTCCAGTTCTTGTGGCTGAAGGGTTAGGTTGTTTATTTGAAGTGTTTCTATTTTTTTTTTTTTTAGGTAGGCCTGAATTGCTCTGAATTTCCCTCTCAGGACTGCCTTCACTATGCCCATCAGTTTTGGACTGTTGTTCACTTTCATTTGTTTCCAGAAACTTTTTGATGTCTTCCTTGATCTCATTACTAACCCAATCATTGTTTAATAGCATGCTATTCAATCTTCATGAATCTGTATGTTTTTGAGTTTTTTCCTTGAGGTTGGTTTCTAGTTTAAGTTCCTTATAATTGGAGAAAATGCTTGATATGATTTCAATTTTCTTGAATTTGTTGAGGCTTGTACTGTAGTCAGCTATATTTTAATAACAATGTATCATACCAGGTAGGTACTAGATCTAGCTGGGTGATCACTTCCTAAGTTATATAAGTGTCTAATACTGATGTTGTACACCTGAAACTCATATAATATTGTATGTGAACTGCAATTCAGAAAATAAAATAAAAAAGAAACTTACCATTAGCTTCATTAACTGGTTGTCTATGGGTGTGAAATCCTTTTGTGGTCCTTTCAGGAGTCTTACATTTATTTCCAAAGCCTCCTAACTACTTGCAAAGTACTGTATGAATTGATTGTCTCTTACACTTCTGATTATTTAAAATTCTGGTGTCTCTAAGATTATGGAATAGATTATGCCTGATTATTTTAACTTCACAGTGAAAAAATTTTCCCAGTCAGTTACTACACTGTATCATTAGAACAGAGGCTGTTTGTACTTAATGGTTTTTTGTTGTTATTATTGTTTAATTTTGTTAATGTTTCATCCTGGAACTGAGCTTTCTCAGTCTCCTCTTCTTCCATTTTCACCTTGTTCCAGGAAAAGAAATTAATTTTTCAAAGGATATTTACCTCCCTCCAGCTTTGATAGTCTCTCTCTCAATCCCTTACTTGTTTCCTTTATAGAATTCATCACATTTTGTGATTTTGAATGAGTAGTTGTTATTCTTTGGAAGTCTACCTCTTCCAATAAAATGTAGGTTTCATGAAAATGACACTTTGCCTATTCTCTTTGCCATACTCCCAGTGCTTAAACCTATGGCCAGCACAGAGTAGGTGGTAAAAAAATCTGCTGAAAGAATAAATGATTAAAACCTTATACATTCCTCTACAGATGTTTTTCCTTTCTTCCTTTATTTTCTCTCCACACTTTCCTTTCCTCTCATTTTCATTGCTATTGTCTTTTTCTTCCATCTACTTCCCTCTTTCATTCCATTCAAGGCACTAAACTTCGCACTGTGAAAGACAAAGACAACACAACCTCTTCTCATGAGGACCCTACAATATTCATGTTTGTGTTTTATATAAGGGTTAATGAACTTCTCAGACTCCCAAAACAACATTTTGTTACCAGTTTCCCAGAACAGTGCTAATACCAAATAACTGAGCCCGTAAAACCCACCCCCCAAAAAAACCACACTCTTAACTGCCAGTTGCTGGGTGCTTTTGTTGGAGTAAACAATGTTGTTGCACAGTCAAGTGCAGAGCTCCAATAATCACTTGGCTCCAGTAATCTCACAGTATGAGAACAAATCCCTGACAGGGCCACCGAAGAGGTATGTCCCATGTGATGATATGTCCCCTTCTCTATGACCCCAATAAAGCCTCCTAACTCCTTAGTATCATATTGAACTTGTGGAATGCATATATATATTTATATTATATATAAAAATCCACAATTAATAAATATATAAACATAAACATAAACACAAACACAAACATAAACATAAACATAAATATAAATATCTCCCATAATTATTTTAGCTCTTCTCTCTCCCATGGGCAGAAACCTACCCTGGCTGGATGCCCTGCCTTGTCATCTACACTTGGCTCATTTAATTTCCTTCCCTGCTGACAGCCCATTTTTCTAGAAATTGCTCCAAAGTAGAGACAGAACTACGTAGTCATGTTTGAGAAAGAAAAATGTCACAAAACTTTGCTCCTCTGGCCCCTGACCAGATCAAGAGTAGTATCACTATCTAAAGAGAACTGATTCAAAGCTAGGCTGGTAATCATTTCATAGGCTGAGACAGGGCCAGTCTTTCTCTTTCTCTCTCTCCAAAAATTTGAATTGGGAAATACAAGAAATCTATCATCATGGTTTGGCTTGTAAGGTTGTTCAACACAACCTCAGGGTTGGACCGTGTGCAAACAGAAAATGCTGTCTAAAAAAATAAAATAGAGCCATGGCTGGTGTGGCTCAGTGGACTGAGTGCTGGCCTGCAAACCAAAGGGTTGCCAGTTTGGTTCCCAGTCAGGGCACATGCCTGAGTTTTAGACCAGTTCCCCAGTTGGGGGTATATGAGAGGTAACCACACATTGATGTTTCTCTCCTTCTCTTTCTCCCTCCCTTTCTCTAAAAAAAATAAATACAATCTTTAAAGAAAATGTTAAGAAAGATGAAATATAGAATCATATGGGTATGGAGAGAAGTACAATGACAGAGACAAAGGTGAATGAAAAAAATCATCTGTGGTCCTTAGCAGCTTCCCAGAGCTCATTCTCATGAGGGCTGACATGATCTGATCCCTGTGTTCATGGGACTTCCCTGGATCCTTACTTAACCTGCCTGAGTGGAGTTTTGTTCCTTGCAACCTAGGGGCATTAATTCAAGCACATCTTTCTATATAGAGTTCTCTTTTTTCCCTTGTTAAATTTATCCTTTCTATAGAATTCTGCTCTTGAACTCAGATTCACCTGGAAAAATGTGAGCTCAGTCTTCCACTCCTTGAAGAAGTTCCTCAGCTCAATCGCCAGGAGAATGTCCTGTAGGTTGACCTACCTGCATGCCCTCAGTGGGCTTCAGCATCTCCTCCTGAGTCAGCTTATTACCCAGCACTGCAGTTACCACCTGCCTACCCCAAGCCATGCACTTTCTAATTATATCAAGAGTTTTAAAACACTTTTCTAGCTAATGACTTTTAAACACATTTTAAAAGTGGTATTATTGGCTACATGAGGTTATAATAACAACATTCTAGTTCTATGCTCCTGTTTTCTGTGCATTGCTTCTACTGTGGCAAACCAAAGAACTATAACAATAAGCAAGTTTACTTCCTGTGTCAGGGCCAGTCTTTTATCCCTCTCTCCTTACCAGAGATAAAGATGAAAAAAATCTTTTTTTTGTTTTCAAATGTAGTTTGTTCAATTTTATAGAAAGTGCTCACCGTTCAATGTGGTGGATATCACTGGATTTTTGTATGCCCTGAGTTTCTGTGAGACAATAGTTTGTTTATGAAAAAGTATCTTTTGTCCTTAGACTAACTCCAGGAATCTTTTTGCAGTCAAGTATTCTAACCAATACATCTACACCTAGAAAAAAAAAGATGAAGTGTGCTAAACAAGAAAAAGCACAAGGTTCAGACTTGAAAATCCCTATTGTTATCAGACTGAAATGGATTGAAACCCCACAAGTGAATAGCAACATTTTCCCTTTGTCTAATGAATGTGTATTGGGTGTCTTTCCCAGAAACCCTGTATCATTGTGCTGTTGTTTCCCCCAGGATTTTATCCTTTTAGATCCAAAGACATATGAGATTAAGTTTTATTTCAGGGTTTTGTTAAAGAGAATAAAGCTATGTAGTGGGGGCTTCCAGGGTGATTTGCAACCATATGCAAGTCTTTAAAAATAAGAGTCTCTACTTCAGAATTTTTTTAAAGACAAAGGAAAGAAGCCTGAATAGGTTGGAGTAAAAGTGTTGTTTATCCCCAAAGATATTTTTTAAGAAGAATACATGGTTTTTATTTTAATAATATTAAATTAGATTTTAGCAAGAAAAAAGGAAAACAAATTTTGTTAGATTTAGGTGTTGAAATAAAAACTTAGACCAGAAATGTTTGCCTCCTTCCTTCCCACAATTCCACCAAAGCTCTGACTTAACAATATAAGAATTTCTTTTGTCCCAGATGAAAAAAAGAGGGATTTGGGAATTTGAGTCCTTATTTTAGTTTTTTTTTTTTTTACCCCTGAACAAGTCACTTCACTGTAAGTGTCCCAAGAATCAATTTCCTTCAATCTAATAATTGTTCAGGCTATGAAGGCCTCACGTCTAGATTATAATGTTTTCATTAAGTTCTGTGCCTACTATTAATTTTGACCGTGCTTCTTAGAAGAATGATGTTGACAAAATCTAAAACATATTCCCCAAAAATGGAGTCCAGTGTTGGAGGTTTCATCATTTGATGTTTTGCATCAGTAGCACAAGGATCCACCTCCGTGAAATCCTAGAGGTGCATAAAAGGTTGCACCTCCCAGCACAAGGTTGGGGAACACAGGAACAGGTCAAGCCTCCTCAACAGCAGACCTGGCTGGAATGTGCTTGCTGGGGTGAGGTGAGCATACTCCCATACAAATGACATTCTGGAAAAGCAGCCTACCTGGATTGAAGTAAAAAATAATATTTAATAAATCCTGGTCTCCCCACGTGATGACATTCTTGTACTTCTGGTACAGAGGATACAACATGTCCTCCCAAGCTAAGCCCGTTGGAATCACGCTGTTCTGGAAAAGAGAAAACTGTCAGAGCAGCAGAAGCAAAGGAAATCCATCTTGTCTGCTGAGAAACGACATAGAGGGACTGATCCTCTCTTTCCAAAAAAGCAAATAGAGGAGGGGCCCTGCTGAGCTCAAGGAATATGACAAAGCAAATCTAGGGTTGTAGATTGTAGCATTTTAAATGTACACATGATTGCTACATCGATCAGGAGCTGGAAGTTAAGCCATAATTTCTACTTAGAAAACCATGCCCCAAATTGACACTCTTTTTTAAGAGTTTTAATTTTGCCTCTGAAGTGGAGGAATAACAGAATTATAGCATCTTAACAAAAACATCCTTGTCTTGTTTTAAAATAATCATTTAAAAATAAAAGCAACATATTCACAAACTAAATATTCAAACAGCATACAAAAATCTAAAATATAGTAAAATTACTCTTCCCTCATCCTCTTGCATTCCCATTCCCACTTCCCCTAAAATTATCCACAATTAATAATTAATGGTCTGTTAGGTATTTTATGGAAAATTATAAGACATAAAAGGGATAACACTCTACAATATTATGTTTCGTTGTATTTTATTTTTTCCACTTAGTATTTTTTTGAGATCGTATTTATCTCACTTATAGATTTACCTACTTCTTTTTAATAAAAGGGTAATTTTTTGGACTAATTCTCTACTGATGTTCATTTAGGTACTCTTCAATTATTTTTTAGCATAAAAAATGAGGCCATGTACAGCTTTGTACAAATATCTCTGTGTACTAATGTAAATATGTCCCTAGAGTAATTTGAAGAACTTTTCCTATGGTTATTGAAGCATGAATACACATAGCATTCAAACATTATGGAATTCAGAAGTACAACATAATAGTCCTGAATAAGCACATCTGCTGAAGCTTTAAATTAAAAAACTACCTAGGCTTTTCCTGAACAAATATTCCATACCTCTCCAAACACTTTTTTCTTCCCTGGCTCCTAACATCACTGCCTGTAAGTCACTTACTTACAACATTAGTACACTGATACTCTAGAAAAGACAAAATTCCCTTTTTTAAACAAGTAAATACAAAGTACTTCCTCACCTTGAACTGGGCAGTTCTCATGCGAGTTAAATTCATTAGCATGACTCCCGAATTAATTCCTGTAGAGCCATAGAAAGGGTGTTGAGCAAAGCGGCTGTACCAGCCAATTTTGGGGATTTCATGCTCTGGGGCCATGGCTGCAAGCTGGGTAGAATTAAACTGCCTCAGAAATTTCCAGATGTCATCAACAGGTCTCAGAAAGAGAACGTCAGTGTCCACATAAAGAAGTGAGTCCACATCCTTTAAAATCACCTTTGTGTTGTATTGGGGAAGGAGAGGAGGAATAAAACAAAAACATGTCATAAACAAAGGAAGTTATTTCAACAATGCCACTAATTTAATTAGTTAATGTTGAATTTTAGAAAGGGCACCACTCTTAGCTCCTCTTCTCCATCTCCTTTAACTTGAGTGATGAGTGTCAATCAAGGGTAGAGACTCAAAGGAAGATAAATCTTGATCTAGACTGGTCCAATTTCAGGACCCTGGACTATCTTTGCTAAGGGCTGAACTTTCAAAGGAATTTCAAAAGGAATGAATGAACTTTCAAAGGAATGAAAATTACTATGGCTCTGTGTTCTTCTACCTTCCGATAAAGCCATCTGTTTTTCTGTCTTAGGATTTTTTTAGTTGTTTTTTGTGTTTTGGAACAGTGATGTCTGACATTAGACAATTTGAAATGGACAATCTTGAAACTAGCTTATTTCAGGCTTTGGAATAAATTACTGTGTCTCTGGATCCATTAGCTCTGTATCTTTTTGAAATTATATATTGAGCTAAGATTTAGACTTGGGAATAGGCAAAGCAAGTCATTGGCCAGGTTTGTTTAAAGATAGAAGACGGGGGAAAAAAGAAAAGAAAGATTTAAAAAATGCATAAAGATCAAAGAATGACAAACTTTTCCTCTAAAGGGACACAGAGTAAATATTTTAGGCTCTCTTGAAACCACTGAACTCTGCCACTATAGCATGAAAGCAGCCATTGATGGCATTTAAACAAATGAACATGGCTGTATTCTAATAAAATTTTATCCAGGGACACTAAAATTTGAATTTCATATAATTTTTAAATGTCATATAATCTTTTTTTTTTGAATTTTTCAACTATTTGAAAGTAAAAGCCACTCTTGGCTCATAGGCTGTTGATTTGCCGATGTCATTTAAGCAAACCACTTAAGTAAATGAGTTCTGTGCTAACTGCTTAGCCCTGGGATTCAAGACTACAAAGCTTCAGTTAATAATAGTGTTATTCACCTTATTTTGCCACTGTTCTTTAAATTTAGGAGTAAATTAAAATCAAGGAAGGATTTTAGTTCTCCTGGATCCCTGGCCTAACATCATGATATCACCATAACAACTACTTGTTATGGACAGAATGTCTGTGTCCTTCCAAAATTCATATGTTAAAGCCTAACCCCCTAGTGTGATGGTATTTGGATATGAGACCTTTGGACAGTAATTAGGATTAGATGAGGTTATGAGAGTAGAGCCCTTGTGATGGAATCATGCCCTTAAAGAGACACCAGAGACCGAGCTGTTCCAAGAAAAAATCGAGAGGAGATAGATGGCTTTATTGGAGGATGGAAGAACACAGGGCCACTGTAATTTGCTGCTGTTTTCATTCCTTTGAAAGTTCTACCGTTACCAGAAAGTCTCTCCGCCACCACCACATGAGGACACAAGAAGGCAGCCTTCCGTTAGCAAAGAAAAGAGCTCTAAACAGAACACGACCATGCTGGCACCCAGCTTTCAGGCTTTAAGCCTCCAGAACTATGAAAAACTAAATTTGTGCTGTCTAAGCCATTCAGTTTAAGCTATTTTGTTATGATAAGCTGACTAAGACAACATTCCCTTGGGATCCCCAATATTTAAAATTGATGAACACTGTACTATATGATGCAGGTATCACAGAAGTTTCATTTTAAAATAATTATTGTTTAAATAATTTCAAAGCTTACAGGACTTATCTTTCCTACCTACTAGAGGAATAAATTTTACAAACCAATAAAATTTTTAAAAAGTCATCATTTACCATTTCAGAAAAGATTTATTTTGACATCCATATTAACAAATTGAATGTCCTAATTTCACAGTTAGGGTAAATACTTTATTTTATTTATTTAATTTCATTATTTTTTTTTGCTTTCATTGAGAATACTTTTTCTTTTTTAAATTATATTTTATTGATTATACTATTACAGTTTACCCAATTTCTCCTCCTTTATCCCCTTCTGCCCTGCACACCCCCATCCTCCAGCATTCCCCCCCACTTAGTTCATGTCCATGTATTATATATATAAGTTCTTTGAGTTCTCTGTTTCCTATACCATTTTTTATCTCTCCCTATCTATTTTATGCCTACCAATTATGCTTCTTCTTCCCTGTACCTTCCCCCCCATTCCTCCCTTCCCCCTCCCCACTGAAATCTCTCCATGTGATGTCCAATTCTCTGATTCTGTTCCTCTTCTAGTTGTTTGCTTAGTTTTTGTTTCATTGTTGGTCTTCGCTTTTAGGTTCATTTGTTGATAGTTGTGAGTTTGTTGTCACTTTACCGTTCATATTTTTTATCTTCTTTTTCTTAGATAAATCCCTTTAATATTTCATATAATAATGGCTTGGTGATGATGAACTCCTTTGACTTGACCTTATCTGGGAAGCACTTTTTCTCATCTTCTATTCTAAATGTTAATTTTGCTGGATAGAGTAATCTTGGATGTAGGTCCTTGCCTTTAATGAATACTTTCTTTCCAGCTTCTTCTTGCCTGCAAGGTTTCTTTTGAGAAATAAACTGATAGCCTTATGGGTACTCCTTTGTAGGTAACTGTCTCCTTTCCTCTTGCTGCTTTTAGAGATTCTCTCTTTATCTTTAATCTTGGGCAAATAGTGATGATGCGTCTTGGTGTGTTCCTCTTGGGGTCCAATTTCTTTGGAACTCTCTGGGCTTCCTGGACTTCCTAGAAGTGTATTTCCTTTGCCAGACTGGGGAAGTTTTCCTTCATTATTTGTTCAGATGTTTTCAATTTCTTGCTGTTGGTCTTCTCCTTCTGGCAACCCTATAATTTGGATATTAGAATGTTTAAAGTTGCCCAGAGGTTCCTAAGCCTCTCTTCATTTATTTGGATTCTTGTTCCTTCATTTGTTCTGGTTGGATATTTATTTCTTCCTTTTGTTCCAAATCATTGCTTTGAGTCCTGGCTTCTTTCCTGTCACTGTTTGTTCCCTGAATATTTTGCTTTATTTCACTTTGGGTATCCTTCATTTGTTTTTTTTCAGTTTTCAACCCAGCTCAATCAGTTCTGTGAGCATTTTAATTACCAGGGCTTTAAATTCTCCATCAGATAGGTTGGCTATGTCCTCATTGCTTAGCTCTCTTTCTGAAGCTTTGCTCTGTTGTTTCATTTGGGCCATATTTCTTTGTCTTAGGGCACCTGTTAAGTTGTAAGAAGGCAGGTCCTTAGATTTCCACCAAGGCAGGGCAACCCTACTTGCTATGCTGGGGTGCTGCCTGTGTGGGATGGACCAGAGAGGGAACAATGCAGCTTGCCTGCTCAGCTCTAGCCCACTTCCCAATGAACTTTTGTGTGAGATGAAGTTTCTCCTACCAGGACAACTGCCCTAGTCCACAGTCAGTTCTGAGTTTCAGTTTCCTGTTCAGCCAGCCCCACCCATACAGTCTGCCATCTCAGCAATGTTTCTCTCAGTTGGCCCCAACTGCATGGTCTGCTGCCTCACGGCTGGTTCTTACTGGTTTGGTTGTTCTGGATGACTGTTTCCCGAATTCCTTGGTTGTTGGAGCCCCATGCAGTTTGATTTTCTGGGACTTCTGGTTGTTTATTGATTTTATATTTGTTGTTATCCTCCTTTTGGTTGTGTGAGGACAGGAAGGGTTTCTCCCTATGCCTCCATCTTGGCCAGAACTAGGATAAATACTTCAAATTGAACACACAAAATTTTAAAAAATTCCCTACATTATCCTTACTATTTCCTCTTATTTTTCCATGGAAAGGTAAAAACTTTGCCATAGATTAGCTGTAGTCTGCTGAATTTTTAAAAATTAAATCACAACTTCTGAGTATAGCAGAGGAAAGGCAAACTCTACAAAAGTACTAGTAAATGCATGTTATAATATTAATATGAATAACATGTAAATACAGTTATTATTGCTTGTATGTCCAAGAACATCCCAAGGACTCAACATCTTACCAATCTTATTTTAGTACTAGAAAAACTACAGTACAGAAAAGTCTTCTACTCAAATTCATATGTCAAATAATGGTAATGAATGCTGGATTTTGGCTAATAAAGTTATAGCAAGATAAAGTCACTTCCTAGAATGTGTTTAAGGGAATAAAAGACTACACAGTGTTACAATAAATGCTAATTTAGAAATTCTGAATCAGAGAGGAAAAGAAAACTATTTCAACCCAGGTGAATAGAACAAAATTGCCTTCATGCTGATCATCTAATAATGCCTAAATAAAAGCATACAATCCTAATGATTTAATCAGTCAAGAGTTATGTAGGCATCTACCACTCAAGTTCATTGAGTTGTTTTTTTAAATTTATTTTTAATTATTTTTAGGTATATTTTGTTGATTATGCTATTACAGTTGTCTCATGTTCTCTACCCTTTATCCCCCTCTGTCCTGCACTGCACCTCCCACCAGCATTTCACCCAGCTTAGTTCATGTCCATGGATCATACATATAAGTTCTTTGTCTTTTCCATTTTCTATACTATTCTTATGTACCCCACTGAGAATTTTGTACTTATGAATTATGCTTCTTATTTCCTGTACATTTTTCCCATTCTCTCCCTCCTCCATCCCTGTTGATAACCCTCCATGTGATTATCATTTCTGTAATTCTGTTCCAGTTCTATTGCTTGCTTAATTTGTCTTTTGTTTTTGTTTCTTAGGTTCATTGATAGTTGACGTTTGTGAGTTTGTTGTCATTTTACTGTTCATAGCTTTGATCTTAGGTAAGTTCCACTAACATTTCATATAATAGGAGATTAGAAGATGATGGCGACATAGGTGGGAGCAGAGTCCACTTCCCCCGTACAGCTGGAGAACACCTAGCCAATCTTCTGAGGAGCAGAGCGAATGGTCAATAGTATCTCAGCATATATAAATGTTGGAGGCCAAAACTGTAGAGGACATTGAAAAATCAGACAGTAAGGAGATTGCTTTGGGACAATAAGGTCACTGGGAAAAGTGAAGGTACCAGGGCAGCTGCACCTCCAGGCCCAGCATCC